CCCGGGGTGGGGAATTTACTCGAGGCTAAAAAGTCGAATATTTATCGCTTGTTTCGTCATTTAGTCGTACTTTAGTACGCATGTTTACACGAGCGTGCGTATCGCAGATTAATCATGGCTGACATACACAAGACTTTTTTCTTGTCCATCCTGTTGATACATTGACTTACTTCTGCAGTTTGATATTGCTATATAAAGTTTTGAGACTTCAATATTTTAATTAAAAACGTTTTAAAACGAAATGGCTATAGAATCGATTTTAAATACAGATATATTGATACGTGATAGAGCTTGGATTCGATTTTTTGGATCAGAAAACTTATATTTTGTCCCCCAAGGGTGGGGCATTTGCGTCGATGTAAGTCCCCAAGGCATTTGCAACGTTTTTTCGCCAAAATGACAAAAGCCCGACAAACGCCCGGGGGGTGTTGGGCACCCATGGAATTGATTGAGACATTATTATAACAGTACATATTATTATATGATTACATCGTGTTCAAGAGCAGGCCGAGGCCCTGTATTTTTTTGCGGCTGGTTGCGGGCTAACGCGTGCGAGAACGCTAATAATATTTTAATTAAACTCGCTAATGCCGGTTTTCCACTAGCGATTTTTTTCGCGCGAAGCGATATTTTGCTATTGTTTTAGAGCTCTCAGCTGCAACTATCTGGAACAAATTGTCCAAAGGCAAAGACAAAGGAATAAATTCGCTTCGCGCGAAAAAAATCGCTAGTGAATTTTCTCGCGCGAAGCGAAATGGATGCCGACAAAGGGAAAAGGTCGCTTCGCGCGAAAGCCGGTTTTTCCCTAGCGATTTTTTTCGCGCGAAGCGAACTTATTCCTTTGTCTTTGGACAATTTGTTCCAGATGGTTGCAGCTGAGAGCTCTAAAACAATAGCAGAATGTCGCTTCGCGCGAAAGAAATCGCTAGTGGAAAACCGGCTTAATATATATTGCTTTCTTATTCCGCCGTTCGATGATGATTCAGTCCATTATTATTTTGCATATTATTCGCTTACTCGCGCGCATTTGCCTGCAACCGACCGGCCCAATACAGGGCCTCTACCAACACTGAACTATATATTTCCATATGTAATTATGTTTGTCGGTTTGGTGGCGGTTAGGTTGAGGTTCGGTTGAGGTTAGGTTGAGATTAGGTCGAGGTTCGGTCGCGGTTAAGCTGAGGTTAGGTTGAGGGTCGGTCGAGTTTGACCGATTCAAATCGCAAGCGAAGTCGCAAATTATTAATCTTTTACTAATGCCGTAATGGCAAATTGGCAATACCTTGACTGTGCAGAAGTGATGGGTACCTGAGTTTTACTGTAACATAGGTTTTCGAAAGATGTGAACGGATCTTGCATGGATTGTCAACTCTTCGAAAATGCTGTTTTTAATTAAACTAAAATAAGCCTGTATAATTAAACCTTTCAATAAACCGGAACATAATTAAGCTCCGTGAAATAAATTAAATTAATAAACATTATATTATAGCCTACTGTGTGTCCCCTAATCGAATCATGTGCCACATCATGGCGCTAAAGCTTTTGCTTGTTATTTTATGACCTGTTATCACAGCGTCCATAGCTATAACATATATATGAGTAGGCTAAGGCCGCGAAAAGCTAAGCAAAATTGGTCACTACGTTACCAGCAAAACGTTTTCGCCTATAAAAATGTTAGGAATATTTCACTGATGTCTAATGACAGAACCTTTTAGGAACATACAGTATAGTTATAACTACTAGCCGATTTCCCTGATTTGCCAAACTTAAACTGCTTTTAAAGGTAAAAAAAATGGGGGAATTATATTCGATACTGTATTCGATATAGCCTACGGTAGTAAATCTAAAGCGCAGTGATTTTAATTCTATAGTAATCTGATAATTCCGACTCTACTAAAAGTAATCTTGAGTTTTATAGCGAAAAACATATACACGCGGTAGTAAATCTATTAAAGAGTATAATAAAAGTGCAGTGATTTTGATCATATACTTCTATATACAAGATTATAGTAATCTGGTTCTACCATCAAGTATCAATTAGACTAGAATTACAAATTGTAAGTGAAATCAGAAATGCTGCAAGTAAATACTGGAAGTGCCTGTGTCTTCCCCAGTCGTCTCTTGGGTAGTCTCAGAGGGGTAGTCTTAAGGACAGTAATTGCATGTCCTATAGGCTATAAGGCATTAACTGGGCATGCATTTTTTATCGTGGTTTTGGTGATGAGGTAATGACAAAACATTGGTTCCCTCCGCAAAATGACAGTAGTGACCTTATGCAAGGGTTATTTTACAACGGTATTGAAGCTGAACATTTATGAGCAACAATAAACATAAAATTGTTATTAGAACTTCGATCCAAAAAAAATTATTAGACAGTGATGACGTCACGAGCAAAGGTAATACGAAAACCACCATGCCAGACATGAAAATTATCTGGAGCATTGTGACCAATCAAACGACAATACACTTTTAATATACAATAATTTTTATTTATTTGAATCAACATTTTATGCCAACCAACTTGTTGGTGATAGAGTCATACTGGATTTGGACATCAGATAGTTGAAGCAGACTCTTTAAGAGGTCATCCTCGGTGCACGTGGGATCGAGGTCACAAAGTGAAAATAATAGTCCGATTTCACTATTAAAGACTGAGAGACGCACGGTTTTGTTCTGCCTTGTTATAACATGGATTTTGAGTTGCCAGTCATGCAGACACGATAAATTGTAGCTTCACAGTCACTCTACACTTTGTACAGTTGGTGATTTTGTCATTCTTCGGGATAACTCTGTTACCACAAAGAAGGCAGGATTTGGATTTTGCAATATTGCTTACCCCGCAGATGTTACCTTGTGCGACAATCAGTGTTTCAGGAATAACCTCTGCTTCTGGCAGTTTTTCTTGATAACTTTCAGCTACTGTAACAGAATAATTATTACAGTCTTTTGGTGGATTAACATAACGTTCTTTGTACTGGTTATCCTTAACGCGCAAGTTTTTAAAGATGTACGTTTCCCCTTCCTTGATGGAATTGACTTGATCTTGCCATAGTAGAATTTTCATTTGCCCTGATGGGTCAAGTAGTATTCTTTCTTGCTTGTTAAGTGTTTGATTAAGTTTCGTTGTTATTTTCTTCACACTATCCAAGCTGTGCACTTTCGCCTTGACTGTAACAAACTGTTCTCCTATCACATTTTTTATCGAGTCCAACGAAGTAATTCGGTCTGATGGCACAAAATTTGGGGTCCACGATAACATCATTTGAAGCTGCAGTGCGAAACTGCTGTATCTTGACTGGTACTTTTTGATCTTGAAAAGTGGTCATATTTGTTCTTTTTTCTGGAGAGAAACAGACCCCTCTTCTTGTTTCCGATTTTGTTTGGATATTGAAGTTGAAATATCTCCTGCTCCCACTGGTTTTTACTGGTGAGACATTTATAAGATATCCAAACATTTTTTTCACTGTTCTGTGATGACGTATCTGTTAATAATACAAATACTTTTTATTAGATGTTTGTGATACAAAGTAATTTATTTAGAAATTCACCTATCAAGGCAAGAAGGATGTTTGTGATACAAAGCAATTTACTTAGCAATTCACCTATCAAGGCAAGAAGGAATATCAGGGTTGGTTATGTTGGTGAATTAATTTAAACATACATTAATTGGGGGTAATAATGACAGATATCCAATATCCTAGAAAATATTTACTAGCTTGTTGGTCCATCCTGGCTTGTCTTGTATGTTGTAACTATAAGCAGAAACATTATATAACATTAATTAAAATACTTTAATTCAAAGAAGGTAAAAGAAATTTGTTTTAAAGAAAGTTATGCCTGGTCAAATTCACTGCATGTTGTCTGTGCCAAGATATGTAATCTTTTTTCCTCAACAAGCCTGTATTTCAAGTTTGCTGATGACTTCATATATGCTTGTTAACCTTTCAAATGTCATTGGTTCAATAACACAGGATGTCAATGTTTTTACTCTGCTAATAGCAATATAAGAGATACCAGGAGTTTTTTCTGATTTACCAATATCTACCCAGGCTTTAGGAAGTGAAAGCCCCTGACTCTTGTGTATTGTAAGAGCATATGCAAGTCTGAGAGGCAATTGTTGTCTCTCATGGACACCTTCAGAGAGCTGAGCAGAGACAGTTACGGGACATATTGGAACACAAGAATACAATGTGTCACTGATAGATGGACCATTGTAATCATCAAATTGAACAATTACAGCTATAGGCAAGTGGGGTGGTTGCTGTTCAACTTGATATATAAAATCAATTATTGTTCCAGCAGCGCCATTACAGCCCAACAGACGGCCAAAGATTCATTGTTAGCCTTACCTTTGCACCCTTTGCTAGGAATACTACTGGTTGTAGACCTGACATGTCTGCGGGAGAAATCTTTTTTGCGGTTACTGAAGAATGGAATGATTAACAACAGCAACAGGTTGTTGCAGTTTTATAAGTTGATCATGATTATATGATGCAACTTGGTCATTGCTATAAAACAATCTAGTAGCATCATTAAATAGTGTTAGATCTCTTATATTTGCTGGTTGCCGTGTCAATAGCATTTCCCAATCATTGCATGTAGAATCACCAACATGCAATCTCATAAGCAAGTCTCGGAACTGCTGCTGTTGTATGCTGGCACCTTGTACTCTTTGATTAACAGTAAGTTTAACCACTTTGTTAAACATTCTATATGTTTGGTACCCTTGCTCTGCAAAAGCATTTGATGGTTTGGGATGATAAAGTGGTTTATCTGCAACAGGGGGCAACTGGCCAGGGTCGCCAGTCAAAATGAAAGATTTCCCTCCAAGAATGCGGTCATGGTGACCAGTTGCTTGTTTGCAGCGTTTGTCAATCCAACCAAATGTAGTTTGCCCAAGCATAGAATATTCGTCTACTATAATGTAGTCAATACCGTTAAGGCTTTCCTGTAATCTGCAAAGAGATTGCCCTGTAACATCTTTGTTACCTCTTGTTCCTATTGGTAGTTTCAATAAGGAATGAATTGTAACACCTCTAATATTGAAAGATGCTTTTCCTGTTGTAGCAGTTACTGCACATTTACTTTGCAAAAGATTACGAATGGCATTAATAAGATAGCTTTTACCTGTGCCAGCTTCACCTATTATGATAAGAAACAAGGGTTCTTTTTCTGGAGATTCATCTTCAAAATGTGTTTTTACGATATTATATGCAAGTTGTTGCATTCTACTGAAACTGCTTATGTCTACAACATCATAGGGCTGTTGTACTGTAGTACTTGATTGTTCCTTCATGGTTTTAATCCAATTAGGCATTTCACCAATTTGTTGATCAGTGTAGCTAGCTCTATCTTGATGCCAGTAGCCAGTTGATTCTGTTTGCTCAGAATTTTCAAATGGAGTATGGAGATCAGATATGACCATCCACTCTTCGCGATCTACACTATCTTGTTCCTGAGGAGAATTCTCAGTTTCTTCCTGACTCTGGATAGCATTTTCAAGTTTATCAAACCAGTCTGGTACATTAGCTTGTGCATAGGGTGTTTGCAAAAATTCTTGCCACTGAGAAACAAATACTTCATCACATGGTTCTTGGTTACCCCATGCATCATTTTGAGTATGTTTCCAAGGTTTGTACCTTAACAACTGATACTTGCAATAATTAGGATCGGAAAATTTGACCCTTTTGGATTGGACGAATAAGTTGGGAAAATGCGAGGAATGACATTATCTGGTAATTTTGTGAGGTTTCCATCATCAACTTTGTATTTAGTAGTAAACTGTACAAAATTTAGGTTCATTGCCTCAGGTGAGCTATCATAATGCTGACGATTAGCATAAACATCTAGAGGCGAATTGCTTGTACAGCTGATATTATCATTATGAACAGAGTGGTTGGTATGTACTCTACGCGAGCCATTGAGACTTACAGGAACAACATTGAATGATGAACTATGTAATTTTGATGAAAATAGATGATGCATTACTTCTTGAGTGGAATAATCTCGTTCACCGAGAGTTTTCAGTACAACTTTTTTAATAGCTTTGTGTGGATCAACATTTGACATCAACATTTTGGACAATAGAATTAAATGCATGTTTAAGTAATGGTGACCTTGGCTCACCCTTAGCTGTATACTTTGTGAGGTATTCAACACAAGCATAATGATCAATAACAACTTGAATGTCACAGTTTGCCCTCCAGCCTTGTAGCTGTTGGTGATTGTTCAGTCTAGGGTAATTTCTTTTAGTGTCAATCTTTGCTCTATAATGTGGTTCAGTGCTCTTAGTGTGAACTTGTTCAAATTCTAACTTTGTCTGTGGACAGTGTTCAAATGGGAAGTTAAATCTACATTTTAAATCAGAATCACTGTACTTCTTTTTTAGACAATAGTAAGTACTACAGCGAGTATGACGCAGAACTGTATTCAAGAGATCAATCTAATCAGAATGTATTTCCGTTTTAGGAATGTCTTTATATGATCTCTGACATGGATGCACTTGTGGCCTGATCCACAAGTTGTTTTCTGGCAGGTTTGGATTAACTGTTGATAACAACCAATCAACACACTGACATGTAATGTCAGCTGCTTTATTACCAGCTTCAATATCCTGGTTTAGTTCTGGAGAATCTATACCATGTTCCTCTTTGTATTTTTGAGCTAAGAAACCTTTTAAGGCAATCTCAGTGAGTTCACATAACCCTGGATCATTTTTTAGTTTAGCAGTGCCATGGCAGTGTATACTACCTCTACCTTGGTATTCGTACGTAAACCAGTGCCATTTTGCACCAAGAGTATCATACAACCAGTGTTTAATAAAGCTGTCTAATCTTTGAGTAAAGAACCAACAACAAGATGCGGATTACTAATGACATTTTGTCGTTTAGCCTCACTGCTGTTGTCACTGTTCTCTCCAAACAAGGAGTGAAGTTCAGGCCAATGCATGTCAGCTGATGAAAATGTAAAGAACAGTGTTGGTGTTCCAACATTTGTTATTATTGCCTTAAGGTCTTCTTTTACCCTATGCCAATAAGCATTTGAACCAGCAATGTTAGCAACATGCCTAGACATCTTAGAAATGAAGGCAGCAGAATTGTCACTTGCTGCCTTTTCACGCAACTCATCAATAGTAAGATGTGCTTCGCCTGGATTCTGTTTCAGAAATATCCCAGTTTGTTGCAAAGTTCTCATTCTCTGAATCATATTAAATGCCCAGTAGCAAAATCTGGGATGACTAGAAAATCGGTATAGCCACTTACCATCATTTTTTTCCGCAAATTTCATAAGATGCTTGATTCGCTCAGGAAGAGGAACATTTCCTTGGAGTGCTTGATTTGTTGGGTCTCCCTTTACATCAGGGAATAGTGTAGGAAATGCCATGGTTGCAAGATATTGGGTTTGGTATTCATTTAATGGCTGATCTTCAACTGTGGGCCAAGACATTGGTTCTTCAGCAGAGAGCTGATTTCTTACAGCATCTAGTTCTTGTTGATGTTGTTCACCAATGGGTAAAAAACTACTTGTTTCAGTAGAATCGCTATATACAGTATCTTCAGATGAATTATCAGTAGGTGGACCTACATCATTTCCAACAGTTTCAGGAGTGACAACGTCATCATTTGTCTCCACAGTCAAACGATTTGATGGTGTTCCATCAACAGGCAATTCATTTAGTGCCTGAGTATCAATTTCTACATTTTTATAATGAGGATTATTTGCTTAAGCCACAATAAGGAATCAAGAACTTTTTGCCTTCTGACATTAACATCTTTGAAGGTATTTTCTTTACCCTTAATCTTAACAATGATCACAGACAGATCTTTTGGATATCGTGGCAATGAAGATGCAAGTTCATCAACATGTTGGGGCAGATTTACACAATGCCCAGAATAACCTCGTTGGCCACCAGGTTTAATATAAACTCTCATTATAGGTAGTGCACGAGCAACTAACATCTCTTCTACCTGAGTCAAACCTTGCAACTGAGGAGGAATTGGAGAAGGGATCATAGAATTTTCTTTCGAAAACTTTTTCGGGATTTTTTTGTCCCTATCACATCGTGAGCATATGTAAGTGTCTTGTGACCTAGGTTCTGATTTCAATGGCCATGCCTCATGACAAACAGTACACTGAAAAACTGAAAAGTTAATTGAACTATGGAATTTTGACATAAATGACTTTGTCCAACTTTGTTCACGTAGTTTACCATATTTGACAGAATCAAATTCTTTCAAATAGTCTTCCTGAGAAAGTACAGGTACAGGTCGATTTTTTTGCCGCTTTGTTTTCATATCTTCTCTAACTTTATCAAGCCTTTCTTTTCTCTCAGAAGGAGATTGATCTGACCTTTTTCTTTTTTGAAGTGCATTATATTTCTGTAACCTGATTTCTCTGTCAGTTTCAGTTTCATTTGAAATCATTCTTTTCTTATAGTCTGGCTGTTTGAAGCCTGTTTTGTCTTCGACTCTCAGTTTCATTTCGCTTTTTTTTTGCACTATAGGTGTGAGAAACATTTGATATTAAGGGAAAATTACGTCATGTCTTCACCGGAAGCGAACATGTTTGATTGACAGTTTGAGAGTTTTGCATAAAGCATGCGTTTTATGTATAATGTAAAAAATATAGGTTGAAGTTCAATACAAATCATAGCAAAACGAGCACGAAGTTTACGAAAGTTTATAATATGGCGCCCAACGTGGGGCAGGCGTTTTCAAAATAAAGGCTGCCATTCGAACCAACAATATCGACGAAAGAAGCGAAGGAAAAACTAGATAGGCTTCGTGCAAGGCGAGGAGGCCATCGCGGGGTATCTACAAAACTTATGAAAGAAGGGATGGAATTGCTGCAGACACCCGAAGCAGAAAATATCGAAAGATGCGAAATTATAGCTACTCAGCTCAAAGAAAGGGTGACATTATTAACCCAAATCGACGAGGAAATTTTAAACTTATGCGATGTGAGCGAAATCGAAGTAGAGATCGAAGAACCAGCCGAAATATCGGACAGAATATCAGAAACGAAGCGAAAAATCGACAAGCAAACAAAAGCCGCCAAAAATCACGATAATATTAATACGAATGTAAACAACGCGAATTCGAACTTGAACTCGGCTACAGAACAGGGGAATACAACGAATCTAATCGAAAGTTCAACAAGCACAACGAATACGACGGGGGGAAACGAAATCGAAGAAAATACGAGTCATAATTCAGTCAATAGTCAGGTTTTCCCATTGCAAACAATAACTACAAATACGACAACAACGCCCGGGAATTTTGTGTCAAGTTTACCGAAGCTGCCAAAACTAGAACTCCCTAAATTTGGTGGTCAAATAACCGAATGGAACTCATTTTGGGATCTATACGACTCTGCAATTCACAGCAATCCGAGTATCTCGAAAGTAAATAAATTTAACTATTTACAGTCTTTGCTTGAAGGAAATGCAGCGCGAGCGATAAAAGGCCTTACGTTAACTGGGGCAAATTATGACGCTGCTGTTCAAATATTACAAGAACGATTTGGGAAAACCCAACAATCAATATCGGCCCACATGGACGAAATTTTAAAAATTCAAGCTTGTACGAGCAATCGAACAGGACAACTAAGGTATGTCTATGATAAAATAAGCGTTCACGTACGAGGTTTAGCGACTCTGGGGGTTTCCTCAGAGCAATACGGAAGCATGCTTATTCCCATCATAATGTCCAAATTGCCAAGTGATATATGTTTAAAAATTGCACGAAAATCGAAAGGAGACGTATGGAAAATCGATGACTTGTTAGATACTATAAAAATCGAAATAGAAGCGAGGGAAGTCAGCGAGGGGGTGCGGTCAACTTCACAACAACCGGGTAAACGACCCGGGGGTCAATCAACCGTAGGGGCATTTGTTACGAAGGGCAGTAATTCTGGAAAATTTCAAATACGGTGTGTTTATTACGAAGAGCTGCACTACTCTGCTTCATGTGAGAAGCTAGTAAGTAGCGAAGATCGAAAAACGATTTTAAAACTAGATTACAGTCCATTCTGCGCATGTGCGGGCTTTGTTTACATTTTTTGTTTTGGTTTGGATCCACTTCAATTGTATAATATGAAGTATAGTGGCTATGCACTACATAAATGGAGTCCGAGTCAGGAGTGGAGTTGTTAATTTTTTTAAAATTGTCTTCTGAAAGACAAGCAATTAAATATTTTGAAAGATCATCAATGGAAGATATATTGTTGATCAATTCGGCATTTGTTTTTTGTGTGCCTCGTTGAGGAAACATTTAGAAGAGACCGACACAGCCGAGCCAAAGGTGCGAGTCCGCACTCATTGTGTTGATTATATTAATGTTCGGCATTGTAAAATAAACTTTGGAAGTGTCAAAGTAATCATGAGTCTTTCCTTGGGGTATTTGTTCGTCAAAACACATTGCCAGAGTCATTGTTGCTGTCATGGCAGAAGCACTCGGAAAAAGCTTTTCGCTGGAAGAATTGGAAACAATATGTTCATGTCGCGGCTTGCGCCAGCTTCTGTCTTCGATAGAGAGGGCGAAATTCCTGTCACTGCAAAAGTATGGGTATTTTTTGCTCAAGCGCGTGCCACGAAGAGGATTTTGATACATGTATGAACAATAGAAGGACAGATGGTGAGTTTGTATTATTGCTATTAGTTACGTACTGTTCGTTATAAACATGCTTCACATGCAATCTTATTGTATTGGTTCATTAGTTTATATATGTTTCGTTAGTTTATACGCAAAAAATTGCCTGAGCAATGGTTCATTTGAGAATATGTAATGTTGTTCACTGTGATAGTTCACTCAAAGGATAATGATTATCTAACAATAGCTGGGTAAACTTTGTTTACATATTTTGATACTTTGCCTGCCAGGAGTATATGCAGACATACATTTCTGAAAGCTTTAACCACTGGCTTTAACACACATGATTTGTTATATTAAATACCCCACATAATTATGCATATCCTTGCCGGGTAAAACATCAAATTATGTAAAAGAAAGTTTGCCTGTCTATATACGTCAAGTCTACATAGGTGTGAAATGCAGTAATTTGGTGGTAAGAAATATCTGTGTTTCACTGCGCTTGAGTTTTTGCATTTAATTAATGATAAATATATTCATTTCAGACTCTTGTGGTAGCAATGGATTTAATTGCCCGTTGAAGAGCATTTGCTCTAGAGCTTATACAGCATCAGCCAGCAGCATTTGTCAATTTGGTAAATGGTGAATTGCCAGGTGAACCGCTTCAACCAGACCCAGCTACGAAGTCGGAACAGGAGAGTGATTCCAAGCTGTTGTGTTACAGCAATACAGAGACAATATCCTTCTCCAAATGGGATATACACTGGGTATCAACCTGCTAGATTGTAAATATTTGTTGTTTTTATTATGTTATTGATCATTGAGGGAAACTTTATTATTCATTAATCCATTTTACTGCAATTATCTCCCCATGACAGGGAGGATCATTTTAAATATTTTGACAGAACATGGGTAATTCACACCTGTTAAGGCCCGTTTGAAACTTTGATTTTCTCCTTTTGGCATATGTGTTTTAGCAAAATTACAGGGAACATTACTTTGCGTGGCTTGATTATTCACTCTAACACATACACCAAAAGAAGAAAATTGCAGTTCAAAATTGCTTCAAACTTATTTTAAGCTTTCTCTGTCTACTAACCACAGCAAATTTTGCTGACAAATGAAAGACTCTATCATGTCAATGGGTTAAATTTTTTATGAACAGTATCTTATAAGACAAGTTATCAAATGCATTGGATGTTCAAGCACAACATTTGGTATTGACATTGATTTTTTTATTCTTTAAAATTACTCCTTGCTCCTTACTCAATGAATCCAGTATGGACAGCCTGACTCACTATTGGGGTCCGGGAGTTTGTAATCAGAGTTTCTTCTCCTAGGTGGACTGCCTTTCAGGGATTATGAGCTCCACCTAACCAGAGCACTTTGTTTTAAGTGCCAGACACTTGTCTACAGTGATCAGTTGAATCTAGACTGATGGGTTTCAACAAGTTCTTTGACTGAAGGAGGAGGGACAGGGGTTATGTTAGGAGCAACTTGCCTTCGGTCATCACTTGCAACACCAATCCCCATACCTAAAGAAGTAAAGAAGACTTATAATTAGTTTTATTCCTGTTTAAATGCACATTAGTGCCTGCTGACCAATATGTTTTAAAAACACATGAATGGCTTTTTTTTATTTTGTTAATGTTAATGCAAATCAAAATTTGGCTTTCCAAAAAGCCATTTAAGTGCTCTTAAAACACATCAATCAGCAGGTGCTACTGTGCCCTTAACATGCCTACAGAATGATCAAAATATTTATGTTTGAAAAGGTGATACAAAGAATATGGAATTTCACAATTAATGAAAACTAAAAGTCACTTTTTTTATTCAGGAAAGCATAAAATGTTATACATACCTTAATTATAAGTTGTAGGATGTATTTGTACTGTTTAGGAGAATCTTTAAGAATCTTTATGTGGCTCCATTGCTGTTTCCCCTTGCTGAACATATACTGGCAATGGCTCATGTCTGCATTGTATTGTTTCATCTGGCTGCTGATCCGTCTGGGTTTCCACAGCGCTATAAGTGCACAATAAAGTTTTGTAATGAGGAAATATAACAACATTAACATAACTGAAATATCCAGGGATATGTGTTATGTGCTTACCACAATTAAATCCGTCTTGATGTTTCGTATCAGGCTCGATCAGCAGAGTATTCGCGAACGCTCGTCACTTTTGATTCCAGCTTCAGTTTTGAAATGATTTCACCGACCAATAGCATCATTAAAGTACATTTTCGTTGCATACCTTTTCGCGAAATGTTTTTTTTTTATTTCCTGGTTGGTTTTGGCGACCAGCATTAGAAGGATTTGTCTTTGAAGTGGACGGCTCTATTATAGAACTCTTGCGAGTCGGCCATTTTGAGCGCGCATATCCTAATAAGGACTGGGGAGCACACAAAATCAAAACAAGTGTGCTCACATTTGTTTACATTTTTGACACATGCGCAGAAGGGACTGTAATCTAGCTTTAAGAAATTCGAAGCGCTGTTTTAATTGTCTTCGAAAGGGACACCTAGCGAATGTTTGTGCAAATGCTAAAAAATGCCGACACTGCTCAGGGAAACACCATCAATCAATTTGTCCTAATAACTCGAACTCGAAAACTGAGCAAAAACAAATGGAGGGCAAAAATGCGAGCGAAACAAACAAGGACGGTGAAACAAGGACATTAACTGGAGTATGTAAGGGCAGCGTCTTGCTGCAAACTGCGAGAGCCGTTGCGACTAATGGTTCTAGGTCAAAGCCCGTGCGCATTTTATTCGATACTGGTAGTCAGCGGTCGTACGTCACTAACGATTTTGCTAAGCAATTAAAGCTAACACCACTGAAACGAGAGACATTGCATTTAAACACATTTGGAAACAGCCAAACGAAACGTGAA